GAATACGGCATGGCAAGGAGCTTTCTGGACTTAAGTGGTTCCCTCTGTGGAGCTGAAACACCACCTGCTTCCCCGAAAGTGGCATAACTGACTCCTATTTTCAAGGCAGAGGTGAAGGATCATCCTGGGTTTGAGAGGCAGGCTCCTTTATGCCTCAACAGATTCAATGCCTTAGACCTAAAATTGACCCCAGGCACAATGTATTCCTGTGAGCTTCACTTTCCTGAGAATTTCTATTGCCTTTCAGTTAAACTGCTGACTGTGGAGAAACTTGATCAAAACATCAACTGTTGCCAGAGAAGCCCGTTTGTGCCCTTCCCCACCATTGATGAAGCACCTTAACCTCGCCTTCTCATAATGCCTTGCATATCTATCTTCCTGACTACTCCTTCATATGGCTTATTTGTAAATTCAAACAAATGTGCGTCATGCTTGCACCGATACATCACTGATGCCAAAGTATCAGGGAGGATGAAGACTAAGGACATATTTTTTATTCAGATGGAACAGAGGACAGATTTACGGGGCAGTGATGACAATAGCCATCCATGAGATCTTTATATAATCAGTACTTTTCTAGGCCGCTCGTCACCAAATTTTATGACCTTCAACTTACTCAACGAAATGATTCTCTTTCTGACCCAAAAGGTATAGTGGGGAGCTGATTGGCTGAGCTGTCTAGCTTGGGCTTTTCACTTGCTGGGCTTCCACTGCTTTCCAATGACCACTTACAGAGCCATAATGCACCGAGCATCTATTGAAGTCCCATTGGTATCGATGGGATTTCCTCTAGTGTATTGAGGGCAACACAGCTTACAGTCATTAGTATCTAAAGGTTATGTATAATGGATAATAGAGGAAAATGAATGTGCAGAAAGGAATTTGCACGGGAAACAGAAGCAGTAAATCGTCTCAATGAAGATTTCACTTGGGTTATTCAGCAAGTGCAAGAGAGGGCTTGAAAACAGACGACTCTGTCAGACACAGCAAGAGTTGAGGGTGGAATGGTTTCATATTTTGAAATATGACACGTCTTATTCCAACTGCAGAAAGCCATTTAAAAATCATCCTGTACGTTACAGCTCTTATGTAACATCTTTCATCTTCAGGCCTATGTGAATTTTCACTCTACCCCACTGAGGTAGCAGAGTTGGGGGAAATGGAGGCAGAAATTTTATGGGATTTCTCCAAAGTCACATTATGTCCAGTTCACAACAGAGCGAGGAACAAAGTGAAGATGTTTTCCATTAACATCTCTTCATTTGGAACCCACTCAACTGACCACACTAGCATGTAGCCTGATATTTGTGTTGAAAAGCATCTCATAAGAAATTACTTCAACCAATTTCTCACCAACCAGTCAATTTGAATCGAGTTTACCCCTGCAGTAGATGACTTGCTATATCTAATTTAATTCGCATATTCTAGAAGAAATTAAAAAGTTGTCTTGTCAATTTATTTGGAAGACTGAGCAAAGAATGAGCTGTATGTTGGTTTACTTTAGTGCCAGAGAAAAATGAGGCTGTTTCCATAAAGATTTCCAAAGTCTAGAAAAATCCTAGATAGGGTCACTACGCGTCAGAATGGACTTGATGATGGCAGTGGGTTGAGGGTGTTTTTTTGGTTATGTTTAGTTTAGTGGGAGCAGAGCTGTGAGGCTTTATGTTTGAGAGTATATACTTTGGAGTCAAGCCTCAGTTCAGATCCCACACAAACTACTTCCTAGTGATGTGACTTCTTAAGGTGACCTCCATGTGACCTCTGTACTTTGCTCTGCCTCTGTATCCTCATTAATTTCTTTTAAAATGTTATACTGAAATATACTTTTAAGGATTGTTGTGAGAATTCAATAACCTCATATAAGTTCAATTTGTGGCATAATTCATTTTCTCAACAATTTTCTATTGAGAGGGCTGCTGCACGCCAGACACTCTTTTTGGTGCTGGGACACAGCCATGAATAAAAAAATTAATCCTAACACCTATTTTAATTTTATTATAAATAATAATTTTAATAGTAAAACAGTGATAGTAATAATAATGGAAATGGCAATAACAACAGTTAACACTTACAAGATACTGTGTTTTAGACGGGTTGATTCATTGAATCCTTACCACAACCCTACAAGTATGACACTAACTAACTCGATGCTTTCAAGTCCATTCAGACCCAAAAGATCCCTATCGGCCAGGTTGGAATGGCCCCTGTGTGTTGCTAAAACTGTTATTCTTTATGGGAGTAGAAAACCTCCTCTTTCTCCTGCAGAGAGGTTGGTGGTTTCGAACTGCTGATCTTGCAGTTAGCAGTCCAGTGCATAACCACTATACCACTAGGGAGCCTACAGGTAGGTTATAGGTACTCTTATTAGGCCCATTTTACTACTGAGAGGGCAGCGTCTTGAGAAGTTTAAACAATTTGTTCATGTTAATAGGCCTAACAAGTGACAGAGTTCTAACATCCATGTACACCGTGAACTATGTTACGTTACCGACACCAAACTTTGATGCTATTTTCTATCCCAAAAAAAGGCAGTCCTTAAAATGATTGAAATGCTCTACTTTCCCTCCTGAAATGAATAGATAACCTAGTTAAACAAGTCTGATGATTTACAATAAAATTTTTGATAGGTCACTGTCACACATTTACATAGGAAGACACACTTTTAATCTTTCGTAAATTTATGAATGAAGAGCTTAGTAGTACTTGGATCTGTTTACATCAGGGCTAATTCTTGTCTCTAAAATATTATCTCTCTATACAGGAAAAAGTTAATTAGGAATAATTCATAAGATAAGAGTTTGTCTCAGACACAAATAAGCATATTTTACAGGTCCTTTATGTGCTTAAACCTCCAAAATTAGTCCTTATTTTTATGGTTTTGTAATAAAACAATATTTCAGCTGCAGCATTTTCTCATCATCCTTAAGTAACCCATCTCATATAGGTTATTACAAGTCAAATAAACACACACGTTGGATTATCCTAAAATGACTGAGATAAAGGACACATTTTTGGGGGGGTCTTCTCAAGTAATATCATCCACATTGAGAAGTCCAAATATATTCTGATTGTGTGACAAAAGTATAAAAGGGAAATTCACATCATCATTATAGAGTACGATGGCATCCTGTTGGTGTGATAAGTGACTTCCCTACAAAATAAATCTTTTAAAATTTATTAGTACCCCTGTTCAATAACTAAGGAGTGCCGCTAGTTGCAGAGGGCTGAGCATCAGGCTTCTAATAGAAAGGTTTGTGATTCAAAATCCACCAGCTGCTCATCAAGAGAAAGATTGGTCCCATAAAAACTTAGTCTGGGGAAACGTACGGGGCACAGTTCTACTCTGTCTTAAAGGACTGCTAATGCATTTGATTCGACTCTGTGGCAATAGGATGCTAACCTGAAAGGCGAGCTGCAAACCCATTTGTAGCTCCACAGAAGAAAGAGGTCTTGTGCTTCTGTAAAGATGTACACCCTGGAACTCTTCTACTTGGTCCTATAGAGTTGGTGTGAGTCAGAGTCAACCAGACAGCAGTGTGGTTTCAGTGTGATTCCAGAACTCCTATAGAAACTAGCTATGTGATTTAATAAATCTATATTTAAAAATTAAAAATTGGTTATGTGAACTTTCTTGTTGCTCGCATTTTGGATAAATGAGAATCGACCACATTTAATGTATTAGTTATAATCATAAGAGTGTCTAAATCCCATTTTTTCTCTACTTCTGAGTCTTGTTTCACGGTGCCTTAATGCATTTCCTTCAAGGTAACCAGGCTAAACCTGAGAAGTTGCCAGTGACATACCTGAATAGAACGTTTTCTGCCCTAATATACTATTTGTTCTAGGAATAGCGTCTCCGCCAAGTGCAAGTTTCCTAAGCTAATTTACATTTTAGACTGCAGAGCCACTCAAGCAGGGAAATTAATGTTCGGTCAAAATAAAATGCCATTTAGAAAAATCAATACAATTTGCTATCAAGTGAGGGTGACTTTAATCAGGGTGACTCAAGAACAACAGTGTTTTTCATCTTAAAAGGGGAAAGAGTGCCTTGCGACTGCGTTCTGCTTCACCTTCCCCCACACAAGAACCACGTGATACTCAGCTATTTGCCAAGTCAAACTAAGAAGACATTTTTTTCCCCCCTCCGGTTTCCTTTAATTGGGGGGGGGGGGGCTTTCCGAGTGAAAATCAGAATTCTTGGGAACGAATTGTTTTTTGGATTTTCTGATCACTTCTATCAGTGAACTTAGCATTTCAAGACAGGAGAACCAGCAACAGCAGCATCGTTGATAGGAGCCCTGGCAGCACAGTAGGCTATGCTTTGGGTGGATAACCCCAAGGTCAGCAGTTCGGAACGACCAGCTAGCTGCTCTGTGAGAGATAAGGCTTTCTTGCTACTTTCAGGAGAATTGACAGAAACCCACTAGGGACAGTCAGAATCGGTACAATGGCAGTGAGGGATGACGGTGGAAAGGAGCCTGCGGGTACCTACCGTGGTGAAGAGCTCAGCTGACAACCTACCAGATGCTCTGAGGGAGAGAGATGCTGCCGCCTGCTTCCATCAAGATGTACATCCGGGGACCCTTTTGGGGGCAGCTCTACTCGTAAGGTCATTACAAATGGGAATCGACTTGACAGCAACAGCTCCTATTGTATTCACTATAGTTCACGAAGCTATGATAGCTCAGTACTTAGGACTTTTAATGCGAAAACCATAACACCCTTTTAATTGAGAGGAAAATGGCTACTGACAGTAATTGCAATCAATAAGACTCTGCTAATAGTATAACTATTTCTTCTCAAAAGCATTCTGTACTCTCCTCAGCAGTATTCGGAGGTAAGGTAAAACAACAATGCCAACAAAACACAAAGTAATTAGAAGGCCCTTTATTATTTATATCACTAAGCCTTGGTCCACATTTGTAGGCCCCTCACTCCCACCCCACATGCCAAATAAGACTTTGATTAAGAAGACAATGAGACATGGACACAGGGCTTACCAATTACATAGGCCAGCAACAAGGCCAAAGTCACTGTGATCGCAGTGGCACTCAAGGCTGTGCACTTCCAGTTGCAGCACCTGTACGGTTTGTTGAAGGTAAAGGCAGGTCGAGAAAAGGTGCTTCGAGGAAGTGGCCTAGGAGGGGGCGAATACACGGTATTGGATGTCAGAGGGTAGTTCTGGCTGGCAGCACTGAAGATAGCAGAGGAGCCAGATCCGTGCTTGAACAGGAAATGCCTGCGAGAAGGAAACAAAAGTTTGGGGCTATTAAAACCAAATCCAGTTCTTTAAAAAAACCCACACAAGCGCCACTAGTATCATACAGTCATGCTCTGGCAAAGATCACAGAGACTGGGAGGAGGCTGTGGAAGTCTTCCCAAAATGAGAGTGAATTGTGATTGCTCTTAGACATTTGAGAAGAAAAGAGAACGCTTGTGTTCTTCAGCTTGCTAGCTAGTGGAGTACTCCGTTTATAGGTGTTAACATTCCATATGTGATATGATTTACTATACCACTCTCTGGTGTTTTATTAAATCGCTCTCAAGAGTTGATTCTAAACCAGAAAGAGACATCACCCTTGGCATTTTGACAGTTAGAATGTCCTAGAAAACAGTGTTAGAGAATTTTCTCACTATTGAATTTTAGATACTAGCTTTGGTAATTCCATTTTCCATAACACTTTTTAAATAAAAATTGTCAAACACAGTTAAGTTGACAGCATAATAGACATCCATATAATCACAAATCTAGATTTAAAAATTATCATTTGACTATACTTCAGGAGTTCAAAACCACCAGCTGCTTCTTAGAAGAAAGATGAGGCTTTCTACTCCTGTAATGAGATACAGTCTTGGAAACCCACAAGGGCAGTGCTACCCTTGCCTTATAGGGCTTATATGAGTCATAACTGAGTTTGGTATTTGGGGTTTTATACTCATTATATATATCCCTCTCTCTCCATCTTTCCATCCATGATAGTTTTTAAAGTTTTCAAAATGTTCCAAAGTAAAAATTGCATGTGTTAATACACCTCCCTTCCATGTTTCAACTTGAGTTCAACGTTTTTTGAATTTTAAAAAATGTACAATACGTATATGATAAAATGCACACATTTTAAGGGTACCTCATTGAGACTCGACCAAGGGAATTACCTTTGCAACCCCAACCCCTATCAAGGTACAGAACAGTCTCATCCCTCCCACAGAAGTATTCTTATGCCCTAAGTATCCTTAGCCTTAACCCTAGAAGCAACACATATTCTGTTTATGTTTTTCTATCTCGCTGTTCTAGAACTTCGTATTAGTATAGTCATGTGACTTTCATGTTTGAATTTACTACAGGATGACTATTGAATGTTCATGATTTGTATACTATGGATCTTTCCCAAACAGTAATGAGTTGTTCACATGAAAGTAGTCTCTAAATAAATGGAAGAATGCAAACACACGGGATCTCACTTAGCTTTCAATCATATGAAATGAGAATGAAAACCATTGATTTCGACCCATAGTGACTTGATCAGCTACACCAGTTCCTCGTGGTACCCGGATGTTCCATGGCTTGCCTAAATTCACCAGAGGTAGTGAGCCCAAGTCACTGAGGTTCCAACATCCTTAATTGTGGCCACTCCATCATTGTGGGGAAAATCGAGTACACACAGCTAATTAAAACGCATGAAGACCTTCTATGTGAGGATTTAATGTCTACAACACAAAGACCCTTCACGAAGCAAAGAGCTACCATCACCTTGTACACGGTAACCTGTGCCCAAATGCATAACTCCATAAGGTTATTATTTTAAGACTCATTTTCAGCTCCTGATTTCCAAGACCAAAAGCAAGTACATTTAAACAGAAGAAAATCCCCTTTGCCAATTAAGGAAAAGATCCACATTCGAGAATTGTATGTATCAAGAAGTTACAGGGTTTCTTTTTAAAAGACTACGCTGCTGAAACGAACGCTGGTGATAGAGTGGAATACTTGGACTTCAACTATAAGGTCAGCAACTCAAAAGCCCCAGCGGCTCCTCAAGGAAACAAATGAGCCTTTCTATTCCCATAAAGAAGGGTTCAAGTAGAAAACAAATGTTTAGAGAATGATGAGAGAAACAAATGTGCAAAAGTGCTTAACACAATGGATGTGATACGAGTTGTATGAGTCCCCAATAAAATGATTTAAAGAAAAAAGAGTTCCAGTTTCAGAAACCCACAGGGACAGTTCTCTGTCCGAGCTGGAATCCACACCATGGCCGTGAGCTGGACTTTTGAGTTTTGGGTGTGGCCGAGGAAAGACACATTCACGGGACTCTTTAGAGGGCGATCCGGCACTGTGCATGCAGAAGACATTAACTGTGCAGACTCTTTTAGCAAATAATTATGCCAATAGGAGCTCACACTTAGAAAAGTATGTGTATGGCAATGTGTCCAGAATTATTTATAATAGCAACTACCAAAACTAAATGCCAATAATAGGTTCTTATTGAAGTATATTTTATAAACATGCAGAGTACTAAGCAGCCATTGCAAATTATGTTACAATCTAGGAAAAGTGTGTGCAGATATTATCATTTGAGAAAAAGAGGCAGATTCCAAAATAGTATGAGAAATAAGATTCTTTTTTTTTAAGAAAAAAATAAATATGGAAGAAAAGATATATCCAAGGAAAAATAATCATTTTCATGACCTTCGGGTGATCGGGGTGATATTGAAGTTTGCTACGTTGAGCTCATAGTGCTTTTGTAACTAGGCTCAAAAACATTTGGAGAGGTGGCGGGTGTCAGACAAAGACACTGGATAGTACAAACCACCGGAAGAGTTACTCTCATTTATATGAATATATGATGCTAGAATTTGCTAAGGCCCAGGCACAGTGAGTCAAAAGGTTGGCAGTACAAATCCACCAGCCACTCTGTGGAGAAAGTGGAAACTATCTGCTCCTCTGCAGATTTACTGTCTCAGAAACGCCACAGAGCACTTCACTGTGTCACACACGGTCACTTTGATTCAGAATCAACTAGAAAGCAGTGGGCTTGGTTTTACAAGCAATCTTCTGATCCTCGTATGTCTGTAAGGTTAATGATTATACCTTAGCCATACGGGTCATGAATTTGAGAGTAGACCAGGTTTTATCGGAGTAGAATGTTAATCATTGTAGCCATCATCATCTCAGCTAACAGGCATTGCATGTTTATATGTGCCAGGCCTGGTTCTGAATACTTCATAAAGTAGTATATAATTTAATTTTTGCAACAACTTCTTTTAATTTTTATTTTTTACTGTCAATGCACCCATTATCCATATGAGAACACCGAAGCACAAATTCAGTAATTTGTCCAGGGTCCCAGAGCTAGTAATTGGTGAACTTGAGCTTAAGACCCAGGCATTTAGGGCACAGAATTCTTGGCAGCTCTGCTATCCAGTTTACTAGACTCTTCCTCTCTCTCATTGCCATCAAGTTATTGCTGATGCCTTGTGATCCTCTGTGCATTTCCGAGACTCTAACTGTTTACGGGAGTAGAGAGCCCAGGCTTTCTTCCACAGACATACTGGTGGTTTTGAACTGCCAGTCATTCTGATGGCAACGCAACTCATAAACACTACACCCCCAGGGCTCCTTCGTAGACTAGACTAGGCTTGTGCAATTAGTAGACATGTTAAGGTTTGAATCCATGTCTATCGAGGTACAAAAGACGTATGCCTTTTGTTGAGTTTGGCATGTGGATGGCTTCAATTAAGCTTTTACCTGTGCCTGTGAGGAACTAGGACACAAACTGGAATCTCCCAGTTGAAAGGGGCTTCCAACATCATCGAATCATTCACCCTTCTCCTTTCTCATTTCGGGAACCTGAGACCCAGAGTGGCTTTACATAATATGAGCTACCCCAAAGGAGCGGAGCTATTTAATGACATGCTGAAATGGAAACTGGGGTCTTTCAAACTAGAGTATTCTGAGTGTCACATGCCACCCACTGACCACATTCCTCATCAAATGAGCCACACATCCTATACACCTGGACCGAGCAAATACCATCTGTTTAAACAGTCCTGCATAATGAACGGCTAGTTGCTTACTCTGTGCCATGTTCTTACGAGTGTATGATTTTTAAAACTATCTTTAGGTGAAAAGGACACCATTATAAAGAAGCTACCCTTTAGTTGAGGCAAATTTAAAAGAGTTATTGCTACTTCTGAAAGCACCTGGTTGATTCCCAGAACAGAGTCACAGTATATAGTATTAATAAGAATATATATATTGTATTGAGGTAGTGATTCCTAGTTTTGCACTTACTCCATTTGATTGTACTGCCTCTTTGGGCCTTGAAATGAACTCCCCCATGGCATAAAGACAGAGGATTCCTTTTCTAACGTCTGGTTAGCCCCCCTCTAGCCTGCATTTCTCCCTCTGGCCACCTAATTTGTAACAAGGAATGTAGCACTTTACCGGCTATATACAGACTAGCCTCGCCACCTCCCCAGCTCTGCCCTGTGGCTATTCTGGAGGTAACAAAATGTCACTTACATATACCCTGTCCAATACAGCAACACTCTCATCCAATCCTTTGGTATAAAGGGAAAAAAAAACAGCAGTATGGGGCGATCTCAGTGTCTGGAGAGAAAATCTCCAGTTCTTTGCATATTTATGAAGACGAACAATTGGATTTTTGAGACAATGTAAGTGGCCCAATATGTTGGATATTGATTTTGCTTGGTATATCATTAAGAGAGAGAAAGAAAGACAAAGAAAGGCAGAGAATTGTTAGCTATTATGATGGCAATTACAAGCAATAATCAATATCCTCGAGTACTGTAATTTCATCCTGATACACAACAAAGGATTTTCAAATGGAGTTTCATAAGTAAAGTATTACAGCGTAATGAATAAATTCAACAGTCACATCAGAACATTTAAACTAATTCATATTTGAGTGGAATCCAAATCACAGTCCTCAGTGAGGGTAGATAATCAAATGAATTCCTACACCGAGGCCCCTGTTTTCTTACTAACAAGCTCAGATTAAGATTCTGTGCTGCTAGTGGCCTGGAGTTTGATGTGTACCATGAAAAACATCAACGAAAATGCTATGTATTGTCATAGACTCTGCAGCCCATTGTTGGGAAGTGAAACCAGTGTCTAAATGTGTTTTCATAGTCCCGGGGAAAAGTAGGAGCATAAAGACAAATGTGCCATGCTAGACTTCAGCCATGTGCTCATAAAACCAGATCATCTGTCTAAGCACA